CTCTATCCTTGTGCATTCTTAAGTTTGCGCAAAAAGGCCGTCATTTTGGGCAGGTCGCTACTCTCGCGGCAGAAAGATGATGTTTCAGTTCTGGTTTGAGTTTTGTTTCGTACGCCGACTAGTTGTTAAGGAAAGGCTGATTTAGTACGAAAAACAGAAAGAATCAAGGTCAAGGTGGCCTTATGCCTAAATAGATGGCTTAATAGATATTGTAGTTTGAAGATCGACGATTAAGCTTAGAAAGTTTCCCGGCTTCTTCTGCACTAAATGTTGTATGACCAAACTTCTCTACTCAACTTTGGTAACTCGCCGTGACTCGGGTCATTTGTCGTGTGTTTGAATAATCGGAGGGACTATTTTGTGCTTAACAAGACAGACTTTGACGACCGTCAATTTGTGTTAACCTTTACCCCCAAGGTGAACGGCAGTTTTTTCCCAAATCGGCAAATAAATACACTCTGCCTCTGTATAGTATGCCATTTGAAAGCCACTGATCAGCTTATTCAAGAATTAACATCAGCAGCTATGAAAGAGGTAGACATTTTGAGAGAAATTGTTTTAAAATGCGAAAAATAAACGACTTCAAAAATGTATCAACCTTCTAGTCTATCAGGTATACCCTTGAGGTCATTCCACTGAAATGGAACCTGCACTGAGATTTTTATGAAACTTTGCCTATTGATTGTTTATATTATAGGAACTTAAATTTTGAAATAAAAATGAGGGGTCCCCATGTTCGTTTAGGAGCAACAGCTCCTTGTTTATACCCAATAAATCCTATGATAATAGCACCATGATTGTAGTCACGATTGCTTGCTAAATTCACATTTCCGACTATTGTTTTTTGTTCTACTCTGAGAATTGGTCCATATTTATTTTGCACAGAGAGATTTATTAATCATTTCAAAACAACAGAAAAAAATGATAGGCCACCATACTCGTTTGCGAGAAAATGACGATTTGCCTCTATGGCGAAGTCCAGCCGTAAAGAAAAAGCCGCCATTTTTTATGTGCGCACGCAATCGCGCATGAAATTATGCGCGGTATGGATGCGCAATGCAATACTGGGGATTGACCTTATACTACGTGCTACTGAAACGAAATTTTTGTATGTGAGATTTTTCCTTAGTAATAAGGATTCAACCTTACTTGGA